CCATCATCCACTTCGCCTCCACCACGGGCACCGGTTACAGGACAAGTGTCGGCTCGTCCGATGTGCAAGTTCCTTACAAGGAGACTAGCTTCCCCATTTCTCAGAGGAAGTGCCTGAAGCACACGGGATAGCAGTCTTCCTAAAATCACTCGATTTTCAAGAACTGGGATTTGCACTGGGTCTGCCTGCCTCCCAGCCCCCAGGCTCTCTCAAGAATGAGCCCTGAGGCCCCTGCTGGTTAAAGGCTGCTGAGAACCAGGCCAGCAGCTCAGCCAGAGGAGCTGTGGCTGCCCCCGGGCTCAGGGAGTCTACGAGCTAATACTAAGGCACAGATGGGTGGCAGGAGCCTCATTTTCACAGAGCGGGGTGGATTCGAGCATGCCCAGGGGCCCAAGGGTCAGCCTCAGAGGTTACTCCAGAAATCTACGTGGGGGTCCCAGGGCCTCTGCTCCTCTAGTGACAGGGCCTTTTGTCTGCCTGCCCTGTTAGACTGTGTGTAAGCTCATGGGTTAGGATACTTAGCAAAGACGAATTAATTAACCATCGGCTCAGTCCGATGGTTGAAAGATGTTCCTGTTTCAAGGGCCTTAACATCACTTTGAGAGACAAGCTCGCATCCATTACTTATTGACTTTTTAATCTGGCAGAAAATAAAACTTCTGGCCCAGCTGGGGTGGCCCAGCTCTGCGATCGGGCACCACAGGGAAAAGCGGGTCCGGCTGCCAGGCTGGCCTATGCATGTCAGGCACGTGAGCCTGGGACCCTGGATGGCTGGGAAGAGTCGGGGAAGGACCGTGGCATGAGAGCCGTTGGGATGCTTACCTCCTCTCTGTCGCAACAAAGGAATGAATAACTTTTAGGAAAGGAACAGCATCAGGCCGGACAGTGGCATGGTAGTTGGGACGGCTGGCTCCCACGTGGTCAACTGCAAGGTTCGAGTCCCAGGCCCGGCAGCTTGTGAAGCACTTTGGGTCATATGTGTGTGCCCAAAAGGAGAATGGAGGAGAAGGGACTGCAGTATCATCCTCCCAAGGGGTAATTTCTCTCTTTCTCTCTCTCTGGCGAATACACATACCATATAGCAAAAATTCCAAAATAAATAAAACAAAACTAAATATGCAAAGAAAGTAACAGTGCCTACTGAAGGAACAACAAGCTCACGGTCCTCCCTTAGGAGGCTGCTGAGGCCTGCAAAGAATACTGGGAGTTCAGAAATTTCACAAACAGCCAGGCTTTTTCGCTTTAACTTCTTCAGTCAAAGGGGAGGAAAAATCTAGCTTTTGCAGGTGCTGGGGCCAAAGGGGAGTCTGCAAGTGCATAGCCCCTGGCATAAAAGAGGGGGGGGGGCTGAAACAGCCCCTCCCTCGCCTGAATCAAGCACTTTTCGTCCCAGTGTTACGAGCGTGTTTGGTGGAGCTGGTGAGGGAGGAAGGAGGTGGGGCAGCCGTCAACCCGGCCTTCCATCAGCCAGTCTGGATCCCGGTGTGCTTCAAAAGGCTACTGTAATATGCTCCCAGGGGTGACTTTCTGGGCCCTCTGGTCTCAAAACAATCCCTCTCGGTGCCCACTTTCCTAGCAGACTGGAGCCCTCCAGGGTCTCCGGAGGCTGGGGCTGTTCACTCCTGTTTCCTGACACCGGCTCCAGGCCTGGTACTGCACGTGATTAGCCCAGCTCACAGATGAGGAAACTGAGGCTCAGCTGTGAGACTGAGCTGAGCGACAGGTCTGGGGACTAAGGAAGGACAGAGGGCCCAGAGAACAGCGGGCCCTCGGCGAGATCAGATTACACGAACAGGGCCTACTTCCTGGTTAGACGCCGTGACAGTCCTGGGAGACAGTATTGCAGCCCGAGGCTGAGTGGGGGTACAGAAGAGCTCTTTGGGTCATTTGAGATTCAGCTTCCTTTTTTTTTGCAACTTCCTTTGAGTCCTAAACTATTCAAAAATAAAGAAGTAAGGAGAGAAGGAGGGAGGAGACACGGGGTCTGCTCTCCTTGCTCTGGGGGGTGGGGAGCTCGGTACCTTCAGAACCGCCGGATCCATGCCTGGGAATGCGGGCATCCTCTGTGGATGGCCAACGGGCGTCCTCTCAGCCCTGGGTGGCTTCTCCTCCTCATCTGACTCTTCCCTCTGAGGCGATTTCTCTTCTGTTACAAAGAAAAGGGCAGTGAGGTCCTCAGCAGCCGCCAGTTACTGGGGCGCTTTGGACCAGACCTGTGCACGCACGCAGTGTCTGCAGTGTCTCCTGAGAGCCTACACAGGAGACACGGCGGCCCTGGGACGGGCGTGGGTGCCTGCTTCGATGCTCTCCCTCCTTCACAACCCTGCCCCTGCCAGGAGGGACTGACGACAGACAGAGGCCCTCTCTCCTGGGAGAGGACACAGACAGACCTAGCCCCGGGCCCTGGCTCATTCCGAGTCTGGGGAACAGAAGGACATCTTCAGGAGAGACAAGAGAGGAGACAGAGACACACTGAGCCGAAGGTGCTCTTAGGGCACAGCCCGCAAGCTCCATGTGTCTGGGAAGGGCTGCCCAAAAGTGCCCCAGGAAGCCAGTTCGCCTCGCCCCAAACTGCCCCCTCCAGGACTGAACCCTGTGGCGCGTCTGAGGCTCAGATGGCTTCATCAAGTCGGGAAGTTCTTCCCCGAGTTGAATCCAAGCCCTTCCGCCGTTCGGTGCGGTATCTGGGGAGGAGACAGGACCTGGGCGCACCTGTGGAGTCCTTGAACATCCATGCGCTGTCAGGCTCCTCCAGAGACCCACTCTCCACCTCGCTGAGCCGGCTGCGCCGCAGGGTGTGGGAGATGGGAGCCCGGCGGCGGCTTCTCTTGCTGAGCTGCACCCGGGTCTTGAGGGCACTTGAGTCGAGGACTGAGGTTTGCTTGGGAAGAGGAGAGAAAAGAACAGGGGACCGTCAACTGAGCACGCCTGCTAAGAGGGGTGGCACGCGTCGCTTTGGTACACGAGAGGCTGTTGAGCTGGCACATGGGGCCAGGGCTTCCACATTGTAACCGTCTCCTGAATTCCCAAAGCCTCAGTGTCTCCATGAAACATGGAGCCTCCATGGGGCTGATCGCAAAGCTCTAAAGGAACCATGACCCCTGACTGCTAGCACAGGGACTAGCATACAGCAGGTACACAGTGGGACTGGCGCACAGCGGGCGCGCAGTGGGAGTGCCTTTTCCTTCCTGGTGACATTGTATGGCCGTGGATGTTTAAGTAATGCTCGGGACACAGCAGGGGCCCTGTCACCGTTAGCTTGTTGATTGAATAACTAAATGCATCGTCTATTTAAATCCTTACAACCACCATATTTACAGAGTCCACAGTTGAGGGGTTCTCAAAGGGCTCCCTCCTTTTCTCACAAAAAGCCAGGGGATGGAGGGAGGGGACGGGGCATGGCTAACACCGGGCATCCGTTTCCAAGCATCCCTGAAGACACACGCTGAGAGGGGCAGGGGGAGGGGCAGCGAGGGTTCCCAAGATCACCATCGTCCCCCTGTCCATCCGGGTAGGAGGTGGCCAGCACCTGGCTTCGCGATCTCCAGGGAAACGGTGATGAAGCACACAGAGCCCTAGGTTTCAACCCTGCTTGGTTCAAATCCCAGCAATGTGATCTCGAGCAAGGGATTTCAACCTCTCTGGGCTGGAAAGTCTCTAGTCATAAAAAAAATGAAACACTGGGGCTGGCAGGTGGCATGGTGGCTAAGGGTGCTGGATTCCCACGTGACTGACCACAGTTCGAGTCCCAGACCTGACGACTTGCTTTCTCACTCTCCCAGCTTTCTCTTTCTCTCTTGTCCCTCTCTGACCACATTTAAATAAATAAATAAAGTTAAATAAAATAATTAAAAAAAAAAAAGAGGTAATTCCAGTGTCCCCTTCCCGGGGGGCAGGGAGAAGTCCCTGAGCTCAGGCATGGAGAGCCTGTGTCCTAGACAGTGCCTGCCCGGGCTCCCGGCCGAGAGCTGCAGCTGCACGAGGCCTCTCTCTCCACGGCGAGGTCGTGCTGGTGTGTGACATGCTCATTTCTTCCTCTTGGGTCCATCTGGAGGAACCCCACACCCCCAGGCCTCTGTGGTGGCAATGGCAGGCTTTCAGTGGGTCACTTCTCAGAGTGGTAAGTGACAGGCACTACGCTGGGGGCAGCACAGGTGCTGCCCATGCCGGCCACAGTGGTGCCCTGGGGTGGGGACGCTTGCAGGGGCCGGGGAAGAGGGAGGTCCCAAGGCGTCCACCTCTGCCACACCTGAAGAAGGGCTCGCCTCTGGCACCAGCAGATGGCGTAATGGTTCCATCACGGGACTCCCGCGTAGTCAACTGTGGTTGGAGTCCCAGATCCAGTGGCTTTAACCTCACACTGGGGGCATGTGCCTGCCCCAAATCCCAGGAGAATGGAGGAGAAAGGATTGCAGCATGGTCATCCCCCCAGGGGGTGATCTCTCGCTTTCTGTCTCTCCCACGACTACACATGCCCTATAGCAAAAAAATCTCTCAAAAAAAAAAAGGGGGGGGGGGAACTGGCCTCTCCAGACACTAAGAGCCAGTGTGTTAGAGAGTGGGAGGGAAGAACACCACAGGAGGGAGGGATGGTCTGGGTCCTTGGCATGGTCCAGGGGCTGGCTTCTTTAGGGTCTCACCTCCCCATTCAGCCTCCAGCAAATGGTCCCCAGGGGAGACCCAAGCCATGACAGGCATCCCAGTCAACCTCAGTGCAGGGTAGCCAGGCAGGGAGGACACATGCTCAGGGACACCAGCGTTTGGAATTACTCAGTGGCCACGCCGATGTCCCAACCTGTGAAATGAGCTGAAAGTCTCGAGCTTTTGGAGTTAATGAGCACCTGCGTGGCCAAGTGGCTGATACTCAGAGACAGTGGCTGTGGACACCGTCCCTAATTATCACGGACGCATCGTGTTCTGGAAGGAAACTGCAGAAAACACGCCACAGCGTGGGGGCGCCCCAGGAACCCGTGAGCTGGAGCCATGCTTGACGCCCCTGGTGCAGACTTACATGGATGAAGGAGAAGTCGTCCGCTCTCTTTACAGGGGTGTCCGGTGCGGGGGGCCCCTCCGTGCCGTCGGTGGAGTCCAGGTCGGTGCTGGAGCGGTCCGCGCTGGTGCTCCGCTGGTCCCTGGAGTCGTGCTGGTCCCCCACCGAGGTGGGCTCCGTCTGGGAGGACAGGGAGGACAGGCGGCTGCTAGGGGGCTGTCTCCGGGCCGACGTGGCACTGCTGTCCGGGGACGGGGACTCAGGGGCCAGGCTGTGACAAAGGGAAGGAAAGGAGGCATGGTCGTGGAGGTGTTTCAGAGAACCGAATTCAAATACAGAAGGCAGCAGAAGGAACAGGGCGGGGTGTGCTCTACCCGCCAGGAAGTCCCACGGGGTGACAGTTGGAAACAGCACAAGGCATGCCAATCCCAGCCAGGTGCTGCTGGCGGCGCCCCTGGAACACCTGGACAGGTAAGGGAGGGAGTCTGTGCCAGTCAAGACCCTCCGGCTCTGCACTGAGTGGTCACAGGGGGTCATTGGGCCCACGTAACGTGGCAGGTGAGAGCTGAGATGTGCCGTGAACATTAGATAAACATTGGCGCTTCGACGAGGGGATGGAAACAAGAATGTAAAATGTCTCATTAACTTCCATGGTGATCACACATGGAAATGATCGTATCTCAGACCTGTTCGTTGACAGTAGACAGTATGTGTTGTTAAAATGAATGCCGCCTCGGGCCAGCAGGTGGTGCAGTGGTTAAGGCCTTGGACTCCCACACGATCGACCACAGTTCGAGTCCTGGACCCAGGGGTTTGAAACTCGTGCCAGGCACATGTGCATGTATGCCCAAAATCCCAGGAGGAGAATGGAGAAGGGATTGTGGCATGGCCATTCCCCTGAGGGGTGATTTGTCTCTTTCCGTCTCTGTCTCTCTGGTGAGCATATGCACCCTATAAAAATCTCTCTTAAAAAAAAAAATCTTATGTCACCTGTTCCTTGTGACTTTTTGATGTGGTCACTAGGCCATTTAAAATTACTCAGATGTCGGGACCAGCAGTTAGCATAATGGTTATGTCGCTGGACTCTCATGTAGTCAACTGCAGTTCAAGTCCCAGATCCAGTGGCTTAAACTCACGCCGGGCGCGTGTGCGTGCATGCCCAACATCCCGATAAGAGAATGGAGGAGAAGGGATTGCGGCGTGGCCATCCCCCCTGGGGGGAGATTTCTCGCTTTCTGTCTCTCTGTCTCTCTCTGTCTGGCGAGCGCACATGCCCTATAGCAAAAACCTCTAAAAGAAAAATGACACAGATGTCACATATTTGCAGTTCATGTTGTTTGAGGGCACTTCAAACAGTTCATGGAAAACTGGAATTAGGTCCAAGTTTATTTTGGTGCAAAAAAAAAAAAAGGAAATTCGTGTATAGTTGTTTTCATAGTGAGTACTTTCCATGACCTTGTTGAAGACCCCTTGTGTTTCTGTCGGACAAGTCCGATGTAGCGCAAATGATTACCAGTGGCAGGATGGGGGGCCGGGGGTGCAGGGAGGGGAGCTTCTGCACTGTTCGTTTGCCCACTCATTCATTCAGTAAATATGTATTGAGCACTTACTATCTGCCAGGCATTGTGCTAAAAACTGCCACTTAACCCTCTCCGCAATCCTGTGAGGATTCTTTTATTATGTTGTTGGGGGAGTCATGACGTATTTCTCTGTTCTTCCATACAAAAATGCATCAGGACTTTCCTGATAGCCCAGTATAATCCTCTGACCTTTACAGCCCTATAAGGTAGGATTATCCTCATGAAATTAAATAGTCAGCCCTTTGTATCTGTGGGTTCCATAGCCACAAATTCAACTAGCCAAGGCTTAAAATACTGAGAGATACTGAAAATATTTGAGAAAAAAATAAGGCAAAAAATAATGCAATAAAAAAATACAGCAGACCAACCCTTTACGTAGCACTTACACTGCATTATAAGTAGGTATCACAAGTAATCGACACAAGATTTAAAGCGTATAGGAGAGCCCGGAGGAGGTGTAGAGGGGACAGCAGCTGGATCCCACATGGCTGACTGCACAGGCGAGTCCAGGACCCCGCGGCTTGAAAATCACACCAGGTGCATGGACATGCATGCCCAAAATCCTGGGAGGAGAATGGAGAAGGGAATGTGGAGTGGCCATCCACCCTGGGGAGTGACTTCTCACTCACTCACTCTCTTTCTCCTGTGAGCACATGCAGAAACTATAAGTCAAACAAAAAGCCAGTGCACAGAGGATGTGGGCAGGCTATATGGTATGGCTATGTGTAAATCCTGCACCCTCTCATGTAAGGCACTAGAACTGCCTACGATTTTGGAGTCTGTGGGGGTGGGACCCCCAAGGATACGGAAGGACAACTACATCACCCCATTGACCTTGTTAGAGGAGGAAACTGAGGCACAGAGCTGTGATCGCCTGCCCGAGGGGGCAGAACTGGGATGGAGCCAAAGCGGTCTGACTCTGAGACCCACGTCCTGGGCCCCTCCTATTCCTGAAATGTTCCCATCATCGCGAACATAGCTATCATTTGGGTTACTGGAACCACATAAGATAGAAAATGTATAAATAAAGCAAGCCATTACCTCTTCCCACACAAGTAGCTCAGGTTATAGAAAACCCTGACCTGAGAAAGGGCAGGTGGGCACATCTGACAGGTGGGTGTGCCCCGAAAGCCCCCAGCTGCACCCTGCGTGTGCTGGCATTTCACCGTGCTTCTGGTCCACTCTGGGATGGTTTTACCACTTGGGATATGGAGGATGTTGAAGTCGTTGGCCGAGATCATGAATGACCAGGGAAATCCCACCAAGGAGGCAGCAGATGGCAGCACTGTCCCAGGCTGGGCGCACCCAGGCGCCAGGACCAGAACAGAAGGGGGAGGCTGCAGTGCCTCTGAGGGGCAGCAGAGGGCGCCCGCCCACAGGAGTGCCCAGGGTCCAGTGGCCAGGATTCATGGGTCCAAGGGCATTCTGGTGAAATTTCAGCAGCTCATTTAACTAAACACATTTCACAGATTAG